GTGAAATCCCATCTCTACTAAAAATACAAAAAATTAGCCGGGCATGGTGGCAGGTGCCTGTGGTCCCAGCTACTCCGGAGGCTGAGGCAGGAGAATGGCATGAAGCAGGGAAGTAGAGCTTGCAGTGAGCTGAGATCACGCCACCGCACTCTAGCCTGGGTGACAGTGCGAGACTCCGGCTCAAAAAAAAAAAAAAAAAATTGAGTGGTTTTATTATTGAGTTGTAAGGATTGCTTACATATTTCAGATACAAATTCTTTTTCAAATGTATGTATTAAGACTATTTTCTTCCTAGTCTTTGGCTTGCCTTTTCATTTTCTTAATGGTGTCTTTCAAAGAACAATGATTGTAATGGAGCCCAGTTTATCCATTTCTTCTTTTATGGTCAGTGCTTTTTGTGTGTCACAAGAAATCTTTGCCTACCCATAGAACTACCTTGGTGCCTTTGTCAAAATCAGTCTGTGGATCTGGATGATCTGTTTATGTCATTTATCTGTGTATCTATTCTTACACCAATCCCCACTGTCTTCATTATTGTGGCTTTGTAGTGTCTTGAAATTCAGTATTGTTAAGTTCTATAATCTTTTCCAAGATTGTTTTGACTATCAGGTCCTTTCTTTATATATATTAAGCTTGTGAATTTTTCTTTTAAAAAACGTCTACTGGGATTGTGATTGGGATTGCATTGAATTTATAGGTCAATTTGTGAAGAATTGACAAATAATATTGAACCTTCCAATCCATGGACATGGTATATTTCTCCATTTATTTGGGTCTTTTAAAATATATCTCAGCAATGTTTTGTAGTTTTAGTGACGAAGTCTTGTACATCTTTTGTTAAATGTATTCCTAAATATTTTGTGGTTATGCTATCGTAAATAGTATTTTTATTTCATTTTTAAGTTTATTGCTGGCATATAGAAATGCATTTTATTTTTGTATATTGATTTGTATCCTATAATCTTGTTAAATTCAGTTTGGTTAGTTGTTTTTATTTTGTTGTAAATGCCTTGTGTACACAGGATTCCCTATGCACATAACCACGTCATGTGTGAATAAAGACAGTTCTACTTCTTCCTCTCAATCTTTGCCTTTTATTTCTTCTTGCCTTGTTGTATTGGCTAGGACCTTCAACCTAATGTTGAATAGAAGTGGTGTGAGTTGTTATCTTTGTCTTGTTCCCAACATCAGGGGACAGCATCTAATTTTTCACTATAAAAGTATGTTAGCTGTGGGTTTTTTTTTATAGATGTTTTTATCAGGTTGAAGATCCCTTTTATTCATATATAGTTTGCCCAGAGTATCATGAATGGGTGTTGAATTTTGTCACTTTTCCTGTATTTATTGAGATTATCTTGATTTTTCTCTTTAATTTTGTTAATGTAGTTTGTTACATCAACTAAATGCTCTAATGTTAAACTAATCTTGCATTCTTGGTATAAACCCTACTTGGTCATGATGTATTGTCCTTTTTATACAGTGCTGGATTCAGTTTGCATCTGTTTTGTTTGATTTTTATATCTGTGCTCATGAGAAAGATTGGTCTGTGATTTTCCTTTCTTGTAAGTCCTATCAGGTGTCAGGGCTTAGTTGTAATTTTGATGCATTTACAAGCATATACATTTTTTACATAAAAATTAAACATTATACAGAGTGCTTTGTATCTTGGCTTTTTTCCATCATATATATCTCGGACATCTTTCTATATAAAACATATAGGTTTGGTTTTTTTCTTTTTAGTAGCTAATTAGTATTTCATGCTATAGGTATGCCAAAAAGTATCAGAACAAATCCCGATTAAAGGACATTTAGATTGTTTCTGATCTTTCACTATTGATTTTTCTGTTTATAGAATCAATACATGCTTATTGCAGAAAACATGAATGATACTTAAAAGTATAAAGAAAACAAATCACTCATATTATCCCAAAGCCCTGGGATAATTAGTTTTAAAATATATGTTTCAAAAGTCCAATTCCTTCCCCTATCATTTGACTAGAATGAATGACAACAGAATGACAACATCAAGAGATATTAAAACCCTGTTTTTCTTCCTGTATTACTCTAAAAAGAGTATTTACTAAGAGGTGA